TGGGCCAACTTCCGCGCCTTCCTTCCGCGCCTTCCTTCCGCAGCCTGGGACCCGCCGCGCCCCGCGCTCCCGCGGCCCCGAGGGCACAGGGAAGACAAGACACCGGCCACGACCACCTCTCCCCTGACCAAGGCAGCGCTCGAGATCGAGAACTGTGGCCGCGCTTCCCACCAGCATCCACCTCTGCGCACACGCGGAGATGCAGCGTCCAAAAAAAAAAAAAAAATTCAAAATTGGAAAAGGCTGTCCCCACCCAATGAGGAGGGAGAACGGCAGGGATCTTAGCGCCCTCAGCGCTGGCCGCCCTTGGGCGGCTGTCACCGCGACGCGCAACCCAGGCAGAGAACGCGGACCACCCCCCACCTCCCACCAAGCCCAGGACACTGACCGCGCGCTGGTCACCCGGTCCTCGCCAAGCCTGCCCCTCCCGGCCTGCTCCCTGAACCTCTCCGCGCCGCCCCGCAGCCAGCCAGGATGGGTGGGGAGAGGGGACGGGAGTCGAGGAGGAGGAGGTAAGAAAGGAAATGGGGGTGGGGAAGAAAAGGAAGGCAGAGAGAAAGAATCCTCCTCCTTGGTTTTTAATAACTAGCCAGAGAAGGAAGGGAGAAAACGAAATCGGCCTGCCCATGGAGCACTTTCAGCCTAAGCCCCCTAAATGTGGAATTCTCTTCCGCCACCTCCCACCGGTGCACACAAGGGCCTTGTCACTGAATGCGCTGCGACAACAGAACCGCCAGTATGACTTCCATAGAGACTATTGGCGATGCGAGTTTCTATCAGTTCCAGCTGATTTATTAAAATTGTCAAGATACAGACTTCCAGCACAAAAAAAAAAAAAAACAGGCAATGATGTCGACAGTGCATTGAGTCTGCTTTGCCACCATTTGCTACAAAATATGCAGATGGTCTGTACTTTATTTAGATTATATTGCACAAAATGAGAAACTTTTTAAACTATGTGCCTTTTTTTTTCTTTTTGCTAAAAATCGAGAATCCAGTTTCAAACCTTCCATCTGGGGCCCCATCCACATATCACAGCGCATGAGATACATAAAGTCCTACTATAGTACAGTACATATACAATCTTTAAACTAAGATAACAGCTCTGAGGTCTATATCACCATTTTCAATAAATCTTTACCTACAAATATTGAACAAATCTCTACTATAGCTGTACAAAAGAAAGTTTGCTTTTTTTAAACCACAAGGCCTTTAGATGCAAGGATTATTTTAAAATTTTAATCCTTTTTAAACCAGGACATAACGTACCAACATACTTGCATGCTAAAAAACAGAGGAAAAAAAAAGAAATCAAAAGGGAAGAAGTGCCTGAAAGTCTTACTGAAAAAACACAGCAAGAATGTTCCCTTTTCACTGTACAAAAATACGCCTGAAAATATATTAATTTTTAAAAAAGACTGAGGTCTGTTATGTATCAAAAATGTTTCAATACCTTTTGTACTGAGGTCTAGGCTGTCTGGTATTCAATCAAGGAGGTATAAGGGAACAAGTTACAAAAAAAAAGTTGGCAAGTAGAAATCACATTTGTAAAACCATAAACAATTTGATCTGAAAAGTAAACTCTGATCTTAAGTCAGTTCACAGTTTTGTTTTGTTTTTTTGTAAGCGTTTGTACAGTCTGCATTTTTTCAAGCTCCCTGCAGTTTTGTTAAGAATCGGATGCATAGAAGACATCAGTTTTCTCCCTCCAAAAAAATAAAATAAAATAAAAAATTTGCCATGGTCCCTTTTTTTGTTTTTGTGTTTGTTTTAAAAAAAATCACCAGTTCTTTAAGATCTCTTAAGAAAAAAAAAATCTCCAACCAACTCCCTAGCGTTAACAGTTGTGCTGCCCAAAGGGTCCTCTCCAGACGTCTTCCAGACTTCAAAGACCGACAAGCTTCAAACAGCGCCTTCCGGAGCGGGTCCTCCCTCCCCTCCCCCGCCCCGTCCCCTCCGCCTTTGTTGCAATCGCAAATTTCAGGAAAAAGAAATAGTAATTACAAAAACACATTTGGGGGGGAAAATCACAACTCCAGACTAGGTATGCAACTACCTTGAGACACGATAAAGGGGGGAGGGGCAAAAAAAGGACAGGGAAAATGTTTAAAAACTACTCATTTCACTTTAACTCCACCAACATTTTCATCTTTTCCAATTTCTTTGTCACGACATCATATCAATATCAGCATCTTCTTCTCTCCCCTCCACCCTACCACCACCACCATCGACACCACCACCACCACCACCACCACCACCATCATCACGACCACCACGACTTCCTCCCAAGGAACCCTGCTCTGCACCCGCTGAGAGAAAGAGCGAGAAGCCGGGCGCCCCTCTCAATACGTGAACACCAGGTCGGAGAAGTTCGCCTCCAGCCAGTCCCCCGCGATCATCTCGCTCAGCTCGGGCGTGCAGTAGTCGGGGAACTCGAAGTGGGAGCCCAGGCTGCCCTCGCTGAACGAATCCAAATCCTTATCCACCAGAGACAGGGACAGGTTCCCGGCCGCCGCGCCGCCCCCCAGCTGCTGCTCGCTGGCGCTGTGCGCGCTTTGGGAGAAATTCAAGCTCAGGTCGAACATCAGGTCGTCGGCGTCCTCGCCGCTGCTGCTGCTGCCGCCGCTGCTGCTGCTGGACGAGGAGGACGAGGAGGTGGAGACGGAGCGCGAGGACACGGGCGACAGCGCGGGCTGCGCCAGCGGCGGCGGGTGCTGCTTGGTGATGTTCTTGAAGCTGTAGTAGAGGCGGCTGCCTCCCCCCGCGCCCGAGGTGGCGCCGGCCCGCACCTCGTCGTAGAGGCTCGCGCCCTCGGGGGACTCGGCCGAGCTGCTCAGCGTGGGGCTGGCGGGCACTTTGGCGACGTTGTAGCGTCTCAACAGCTGCGGCGGCTGCTGCCCAGGCGGCTGCAGGAGCTGCGGGTGCGGCGGCTCCTCGTCCTCCTCGTCCGCCTCCTGCTTGATCCGCAGCTGCAGCTCGTCGTCGTCCTCGTCGTCCTCGTCGTCCTCGTCCAGGAACACGCACTTGACCGTCTTGCCCGCGCCGCCGCCGCCCGCGCCGCTCACGCGCAGGCTGCCGAGCACGTAGTCGTCCCCCGGCCGCCGTAGT